GACGCTGATTGAAGCGCGTCCACCATAGACTTTGTATGTAAACCTGCTGCTCCTGATGCTGAAATCACGTTTGGTGTGAACGCACCATAAATGACAACAGGACGGTAGAGGGTCAATTTCTACTGTAGGCCAACTTCGTACTGTTTCTACGGCTTACTGCATATACCTACAACCCTGGTCACAATTAAAACAAACTTGTAAAAAAGTCTAATTTAATTTAGTTAATTTGTTATAAATTCAGTGTTAATTCAAGCTGCTAAAACATTTATCCACTCAGTGATTTTCTGTCATTTCACATATTGTCTAACAAGCTGGTCTCAGACTAACTCCACCACTCTGAAACCGTTACAGTCTTTATACATGCAGACACTCAGAAACCTAAACACTTTCATCACTGCTCCATTTTAGTCAAACACAACCTTCTGAGTTGGACAATCTTATTAAGTACATGAATGCCTGTCAGACATACAGAACCCTACACAGGATGTCCCCACCTGTCTCAGAACATCCATCAGAATCACTGCAGGGTCCAGAGGTGACTGTTTTGTTCCCACTTAGAACAAGTGTTTTTACTCAGTCAGCTTCCTGTTAAAGCTTCTCAGGAGTGGGAAAACATCCCAACAACAGTCAGAGACGTCCTCACATAGAAAATATTCTGCTCTCATCTAAAACGATGGCTGATTATTCAGACCTGTCAACACCAAACCTCTGCTGCTGACATGTTGTTTCACCTGTGCAGGTGTGATTCTCCTCTGACCCTTTGTGAACTTCTCGTTTTATGATTTTATCAACATTGTTTGTCATTTTATTATGCATCTATCAAATGTTTTAATCTGTTTTATTAATGCTTGATACTCACAGTGCTGCTTTTATGTTTTTACTAAACACCTGATGCTGTTTGTGTGTAAAGAATATTAATGCCACTCTTCAGAACTAATCAATGCACACTATTGTGATTCGTTTCCCATCCAAGTCATCTCAACTTTGCCATGCTTCTCCTCCTGCATACTTTGTCCTAGAGCTGCCATTGTAATTTATATCTGTAAAGCCCCTGTGCCTGATGATGGCTATGCCTTTTGGTGCCTGTAAAACTTATAGTTTTTGAAACACTAATGTTTAATAAATTATAATGGGAGTCAATGGGGCCTTGTAATGGTCCAATATTGCCCCCAGCTGTACTCAACTTGGTACTGCACCATAGTTTTTTATATTTAATCTCAATAGTTCAGTGTTTACAATACTAATATGATTGGATTTTGATGTTTTACTATATCATTGTCTTAATACTGCTCTATCGTTGTAATATTATGTAGTTTAGTGTCAATAATTGTATTGGCAATGTGGCCTCTTTCTGCACACATAGAAACCAACCCCTGCCACCACCTTCTGCCACAGCTCCATTGGTCTAATGGTCTATGTCATGGACTTTCATGTGGGAGATCAGGGTTCAAAACCCAGCTAATGCAACTTTAACAAAAAATCTCTTCAAACTTTGTATTGTCACACAATTACCTTAATTACAAACACCTGCTCACGTGACAGGCACAAGCTGGTATAGAAAACACATTTGAACTTGGTCAAAGTTCATTCTGCAAGTCCACTGCTGCAGGCAAAGCCATGCTGCAATGACATGCTACATGGCAGTGCACACTTGTTTTACATCGTAAAAACCCATGTCTAGTTCTACTTGTATCTCACTGATTCTTTGAAATAAACTAACACTGTCTTAACGCGCTGTTTTTAACTGTTGATGACTTCATTATTTAAAACTTTGTGTTTTTAGGGCTGTGCAGTTGGCCACCAGGACTACAGATGAAATAATCTTTGGATAATTCTATGTTTCAATGTACTGTTATCAATATGCACTGTCCTGCTAAATAAATAAATAAATAAATTAATTAATTAATTAATTTAAAAAAATGTAGCTAAATATATTCTTTCTGAATGTGCTGATCTAAATATATAGCTAAATAAATAATAAAAGTAAAAATAAATCATCAATTTGCTGAAGGATCTTAAC